AGTTTTTCTTCATTACCCATTTAAGCCGTCTCCAGCCATTATTAGTCTCAAAGTGGGTTCCTCGTCATCGAATAAGTAAAGACTTGTGTCGTTAAAATTTCATCGGAACGAAGTTACGGAAAGTTAATTAACAAACGGAGACGTAAAAATATTGTTGAGCACGTGAGAAGTTCGTTGTGAATTATAGCGTTTGTTAGAGAGCGACTGTTGAAATTAAGTGTATCGCAAAGTTGTATTCAGAAAGAATAAACCAGTTTTATTTAAGAAAGGACTTATATCGGTAAAGTTTCTTCGGTAATAATTTTTACGGAAAATTAACTAACGATCGGAGACGTAACAGTACCTTCACAATCACTCTGCAGCTTTGGAGACTTCCCCTCTTACAAGGATTATGAAACCAGATAAAGTCTCTAGCATTAAAGTGACTAACAGAAACGTCGCCCTACGGTCGGTTGTTTTTGCTTGTAATTAGCAATCGTAGTAATCATACCTCATTGTAAGAAATTGTGAAAAAAGTGAACATTTTCTAAAGGTATTTATTTCTGGGAAGTACTGAATGTAAAGAGTGTTCGAATTGTGCTCTTTAGTCATACGCAACTCATTGTTCAGTTGTTACATCTATTCAACGCCAACCTGGCCAGCAAAGGACATTACAATGGTAATCCTTTCATCCTGGATGTTGTATGGTCGGGCAAAATAGACATTACATATTATAGAGAACAAACAAACATTGCATCTAGAACAACTAATGTTGTCGACTTCCTGGACCACGTGCCGTCGTCATTGCAGCATAGAAACTAAATAACAGAAAAACAAAATAAAACATTTCTATATAACTAAAGCAGATAGAAAGCATATACCTGCAGTTCACAGTTGAATAACCTAGAACAATAAGTAACTAGAGCAAAATGAATTCTCCCTAATCTTTTAACAACATTCTATTATTAAAACTATAAATATGACTAGAAATATGTATGTGTAGAGTTTTTTTAACAAGATTCCTAGTGAACTCTGTATATATATATATTTAGAATTATATAGAGTTTTTTTTATATTCTCTGTCGTATTCTATAGAAATTTTGTTTAGGGAAAATTTTGAGACATTTAGAATGAGTAAATAGAGACATCTAGTGAGTTTTCAAGGTTTCTCTTGTCCGTTTCTGCGTTGCGAAGTTGGTAGCACGTACTTTTAATTTAAAGAAAGGCTATACGTTGGCGAAATTTATGAATTGAACATAGCCATCACTATAGTATTTAGTTGTTATTTTATATATATATAATTTAAAAAGCTTGTGTTTTTTTACGAATTATGAAATAAGTTCTACCAGTAAGTTAGATAAATTAGACGTCGCAACGCTGAGTTGAGGAATGTTATTTCGTACTCTTAGTCTGTAGTGTAGATTTTCGAACAAAAAAAAAAAAAAATGAAAAATTCAGAACGTGTTAAATTGTAGTTTTTCCTCTTGGTACGAAAAATTCAAAAAGGTAACTATCAGAAGGTAAGATGTGAAATAAAACTGATTTAGGTGTTATAAGCGTTATTCTTAAAACTAAAAGTACAAAGAAAAGTAAGGTGATACTGTTAAAATGTTCAGTCACTGTAGTACATGTACTACAGGTACATCTACTACTACTACTACTGCCGTATAAAAAATTACAAGTATAACCATAACTTGGTCAGCATCATCAAATTTCAAAATCTTAAAATTAGACTTTGACGTTAAAAGTATTGAAAATGAATTTTGATTTCACTCTCCACAACATTTTAACAGTAGAGAAAGTATCAGATTCCAAACCTAAATTTAGCCTTTTATTATTTTCTAATTCTAATGTATATTGCACACTTGAAACCATGTCTTGGGGACATATATTTGTAATATTTATTATTAGAGTATTAGTTTAGAATAGCATAATGTATTATTGGTGTAGCTAAAAGTAAAATAATATATAATTCTTACCTATTAAATGCTATATGATCCAAACTATTTCATGTGTTATTACTATTATTCAACATTAAAAATCTATATGCCTTTGCTTTTTATTTTTCAAGTTTGTCAATATCAAAGTTCAAGATGACTCATGGAATTTGTTATAAATGAGCATAAATGTATTACTGGTGTAGAGACAATTTATACTATTTACAAGGATAAAGGTTGTAGAACACCATACAACATTTTTTGTATATTGTAAAGTCCCAAGCTACACAACGGGTATCAAAAGCTGATATTTAGTGTCATAAATCTAAAGGGGGGGGGGGAATTCTGAATAAACATGCAAATACTCATTGTAAATGTAAATTTTTACCATAGAATACCAACTGCCATTTTATTTAGGTAATAAAATCAGTACACACATTAATTACAAAAAGATAATATGATTTTACCTTATGTCTATTAATGTATTTGGTGAAATATACATATTATTGGATGTCCATGAATTTAACCTGTTCTTCTCTGACATGACAAGATACTGAACATATGGCTTGATATGCAATTTCAATTAGCAATTTAACTTAAGATGGGAAGTTTCATTGAACTTTTCCATGATATAATTGTTGTTTAAGCTTTAAGCTAAGTAATAGAGAACAGAGCTTATGATTTTAATGACTATTGAAGTTTCTTCATTTAACTCCAAATTTCTTTGGATAGTTTTGTCTAATCATTGAACAACATGAATTGTATCATAAGAGCTTTATCATCCTGACCAAACTATTAATGACAAGTAATTTAAAGGGTTGTGAAATGAATCATCAATAATTCTTAATTTCTTTTCCTGTATCATTATAGTAAAGTGGTTGACCTTCCCCATGATTTCATTGAGTACCTGTTGGCAGATGGATTGGTTCTTCCAGAAAGGTACAGTTGTGTGGATGACCTTTATTATAGCTAAATTGTAATCATTTTTTTAATATGGGTTAGCTTAAAGATTAAATGATACATTAGAACTTTTAACCATGTTAAAACATTGAACTTTTCCTTCTCTGTATGGAGTCTACGAGGCTCTGGTATGTGAGCTGTAAGCTGGAATAGATAAAGAGTTTAATATTATAAAAAACTCTAATGAATATTTAAATTGTAAACAAATTTTGTTGGCTTGTATTCAGTACTTTTGATAATACTACAAAACTTTATTCATTCAAATATTACTGCTATTCCTGGTTATTGTGAACATTGCAATATAAACTGTTTATCACATTATGTAACCAGGTAAGACTATTCAAGTGTTAACTAGCTGCTAGCAATCAGAGAAATAAACTTTTACAATAACCCTGTATCTAACAATTGAATGATTTTTTTAAAGGTGAGAAGCCCAAATACTATGAATACAACCTAAAATCATGGTTGCTTTGTTATTAGCTAATGTAAGTTGGTTAGGGGGCTGTAGAAGTTTTGGAAACATACTGATTATTTTCATGATGGATAATGGTGATATTGGTATATTATATTGCCACATGTAGTTCTGTCCATGTTGATGATCTTGAAGTGTATGTAATTAATGTTTTCTGTATCTTGCAGTTTACAGTTTAGTAGACAGCAAAGTAGTGATGACAGTGATGATGAAGTGAGTGTGTGACACAATTACTTTATTGATGTAAATATTAAGATATTTATTCTTTATGGTGATGTTTTATAATATTAACTTAATATTAGCCCAGAAGCATGGGTGAAATTCTGCCAGTACTCACTGGTACTTATTTTAATGCTGGTACATGATACTAGGTCATATTTGATCTGATTTTCATCCAACCCACATGCCTTTCATTATACTGTCAGGAAGCAGAGACATTATAAGTCACAGAATCCAAATAATCTTTAAATATTCCTAAAATGGACCAGTAATTAACCTAATGACATTCGTTCTTGTTGGCAACAAGATCATGAGTAATTATTCAGCAGCTTTAATGTTGATTAAACCAATCAGGTAGTCTCATTTGGCTTTGTGACATGTATGATTGGTAAATAATGATGAATAATTTCCAGTAACACTTTTTTATTGGTTATTGCACTGTGGTTGGTACTCACCCATGATATTAGTGTGCATAATATCTTTTGTTCATTCAACAAAATAGAAAGTTAAAGAAAAAAAAGACACTTGAGGATAGTTTACACTTGTAAAATATTTAATTCAGTTGCCTGTTTAATATGTATTTGTTTCTTTAAAACCAACAAGACAATGGTTATATGTATTTTCCTTTATTTCTTTTCAGCAAAATCATTTGTAGTATGTGCATATGAATACTGAAACTTTTTTTTTGTTTGAGAATTTTACCCATGATCAAAAGTATCGAAAATCTTACTGTTTATCTTAATATTATATTAATAGAAAACAAATTGCTTTAATTTATACAAATACATATATATATATATAGAGAGAGAGAGAGAGAAAAAAGAGATAAACAGGACTTCTAAATTTATTAAACTTTAGAACTTTCTTATTTTGTTAACTTGTAAAGGCAGTTATATAATTACACTAAATTAGATATAATAGTGGATTGCTTCAATTTAATTTTTTTTACTATGAATGAAACTCTCTTGTGTTTTAGGTTTTCATTTAAATCTGTTTTTATTTTAGGTAGATTGGAATAATCCAGATTTACCTGTTGCTGAGGTAGGATGTTAATATCTTTACATAAAGCTGCATTTATACAAGTTTAACGGTTGTTTGGAGTATTACAAAATATACAAAAGTTTTATACCTGAATATGTTTCTTTGCCATAAACTGGGGTATAAATGTAAGTTGCCATGTTTATGTGATTTTATATTTTAATGTTATGTTTCTATAGGTTAATTTATGTTTAAACTAGGCATCTATTAAAACAAAATATTCTGATGACAGATTTTTCTGTACAATTGTAGCAGCTAAATTTGGTGTAAAAAACAACTAATTCATTAGAACTATATCCAACCTGAGGTAAATTAAAAGGCTTTGTATCTGGAAGTGTTGTATTTAGTCTTAAAAGGCTGACTACTGAAAATTGTAATGATGAATGAAATGTGTTTAGTGTTAAAAGGGTGTCATATGAAAAATGATTACTATAAATTGAATATAACTTCTAACTTACAGAGTTCTTTTAATTTTAGTTTAGTTTTTAATCTTGCATGAGATTGTCATGAATGTATCTCCAGCAAAACAAATATCATACATTTGTTAATAAATGATGTATGTATTTGAAAACAAGAGGAAATTCTCAATAGTCATGGCACTTAAAATTCTTTTAGGCAGGATTAGAGTAAATTAATCTATAAGACCTTTTTATTAGCTATATTTTTGTGTGCCAGCAACACCAAGCATGGGGTGTGTGTATACCCGATTCAATTTTATTACTCATCAGTATCTCTACCAGCCTACACTCAAATTGAAATTCTTATAGGCAGAATTAGAGTAAATTAATCTATGAGACCTTGAGCATTGTCAAATACATCAATTGAAAGGGTTTGATCTCTTTAGTCCAAAACTATAATTAGACCTCAAATCGGTCAAGAGATGATGGAGCTATGAACTAAAAGTTTATACTTGAAAAAAAAAAGTTCTATGAGCCATTATGCAGTGGCTAAAAGTTAGATAAGTGTGATAAATATCTTCAGAACCTAAATAAGGAAATTAAGGACTGATGAAATGTCATGCTAAGTTTTAACTAGGTTGTTTTTAAGTGTATTTACATTCTGTAGAATGAAATACTCTACCAGAGAGAAAAATTGTTGCAGTATTGATTAAAAACCACGTGTTTAAAGCATATGTGGCTTTTTAACTTTTGTCTTGACCATAAGTAGAGTTGAGTGATTAGTCCTATACGCATGAACTTGGTGATTTTGACCAACCTTCTAACCACAACGTGTATCTTCATGAAATAGGGCAAGCTCTTAGTAAGTATTATAAATCTGTTGTATCCAAAAAAATCAGGTGTTTTTTTTTCCATAAGGTATTTTAATAAAGATTTATCTGTGAATTTATGAAGTCTTTAGGCAGTCAGTTTGAGTGAAAGTTGATATTCGTGCTGAGGATAAAAATACTTTTTTCTTCGTACAGTTTTAGAATCTTGTTAATATAACCTCTAGAACCTTCTAAATGAATACCAAAAGATTTTTTGGGTAAAAATTTCATCTCATATTTTCTTTACTCTAACACTAAACGTTGTGAAATCATTAATCTACATGAAACGAAAAAGTTGAAAAATATGAAATAAAATCAAAAACACCTTTTTTTTGTAGAATGCAGATTTTAATAGACAAGTGCAATTATTTATTCTATAAGCTTCAGCTTTTTAACCTTTCACATCAGCTTTTTTTATTTTTAATTCCTTTAGTGTTCTATTAGACCATGTCTCAGTAAGTGAAACCCAATATGTTAAAGCAGGACAACAAAATGTAAATCAGTAGATCAAGATACATCATGTAATCTCAAACCTTGTGAATTATGAGAATTTTTTTTCTAAGTTTTTATTACCTGACCAATACGCTTATAATTTTTATATTTTAGTTACTTTTGTTCAAAATATATAATATATATACCAGCACTTAGCTGGTATGGAACTAATTGTGCTCCGGAACATACGTTGATAAGACTATTTTTTTCTCACTATGTTGGCTGTTCACAAAATAATTCATGTAGTTTTCAAATATGCATTTTATAACACAAAATGTATATCAGGCCCTCTAGAATACAATGTCAAAAAACCTACTAATTTATCTGGTTTTCTAATTAAACTATAAATATGTAAAAAAAATGCCATTTCTGCTCAGAGTATTAACTTCATTCAATATACAACAATATTTTCTTGGATACTGTCATCTCTACCCACTGAAATATAAATAAAGGAATGTATGAAGGTAATATGTTGAATTTATTCTGTCCATTAGTTATAATTGTGTCCAGTAGCAGTTTCAGAGAGAATTATAGACATGTATTGAAAGACAGAAAGAGATGGGAGAGCATGTCATGTGGGTGTGACAAATATAATGATATCTCAGTAAAGAAAAATGACTGGATTTTAAAATTTTATATTCTGGCTTGTCAATATGTATTGTTTGTGTCTCTAATTAGTTTGACACGCTGAAATCCATATAAAGGAAGAGAGAAAAACTAAGATGGGGAATTCAGAGTTCAGATGTGTTGTGTGTCACAGGAAAATGAAAATTGAGAAATTATTTACATATTTCTCTTTGAAATTAAAAAATAAAATGTAGATAATATAAAAATTTTGATGTCACTTATTGATATACATTGTTAATAAAATAATTTAATTAAATTTTGAACGTAACTGTAAAAAAATTTCTGACATGCACCTTTCAACCTTCCCATATGTATAGGGTTAGTGGAATTGATTAATTGTTAGGTTCATTAATTGATTACATTCTACTAATCAATTATTCTCACATGAGACTTTGATAGTTGTAAGAATAAAAAATAGTAATAATTCAAAACACTAATTTTGCTCAGTTGATGTTTTGGTCAGTCATGACACTAACTGATTAAGCTGGACAACTTTGAATTAATCAAAAGTAATAGAGAACTCATAATGGTAATATTTTGATTATATAGATAGAATAATCAAAAATAGTAATAATCAGATATTCAAATTTTGATTAGTTGATTATTTTTGTAATGTTTAATCAACTTAATCGTACCTTTGATTAAGTGATTATTTTAAATATCACCAGTTGAAGAAATTGGTAATTGATTAATCAAGTTAATTACCCAGCTCTAAAAAATAAGTAAGGTATTTGCAGATTTGGTAAATAAGGCATTTAACTACAAATTAATATCAAATGTAGAAAAATAAGGAAAATAAAAGAAATATTTCTTGAAAAAATTTAACAGCAAACAATGGTAGAAAAGTGAAAGAATATTACAAATTTATGTGGACTAGTCTTCTGCCCATTGTATCAAAAGAGTATACCACAGAACTTTCCATGTTGGTACATTTGCTCATGAAGAATCTGTCATTTATTTCTAGTTCATGTTTGACTGCCATCCATCTTTGCTTTATTGCTATTATTATGAGAAGAATCTCTTTTAATGATTGTTTTCCATTCTTAGACTCCTGTCTTTCCTGATCTTACTAGAAGAGTGGAAGACAGTATCGAAGAACTTGGAGGACACGTGTTTCCTAAGCTAAATTGGAGTAGCCCAAGAGATGCCTCATGGATAGCTCTGAACAACAGCACTTTGTGTAGAAATTTTTGTGATATCTGTTTACTACTGAAGAGTTCAGATTTTATTGCCAATGATCTGACAGATCCGTAAGTAGGTGGTTTCTAACCATTTTACATTAACTTAAACTAAAAATCTCAGAATAATTATATTTAGAGACCTATGGTAAGATAGTTCCATGGATCATGATAAAGTTATTATAGAAGCCCAAAAAAATAACCTAAAGGCTTGGGTGCTTTGAAAGAGAATTTGTCTTTGGGTAGTGGTAATGAAGATTGACTTATCAGAAACACTAGAGATTTAAAGTATTTTCAGCTTATTTGATTTTTATGTTGTAATTCAAGTATAACATGACAATTGTTAATAATATGTAATAGATTAATAATCCTGAAAAAGTTCCTTAAATGATGATTATTTCAAGGTTGTGGATTTAACATCATCTGTATTTACTGGAAAGAATAATATATATGCATTTTTCAGAGCCTTCATTTAAACATAAGATTTTAGGTTTTTAAATGTATCATAAAATTAGTCATGCTGAGCTGGATATTCAATGAAACAGCTTGACAAGTTAATAAAATTTTGGAATTTTCAGTTTGAATTTTTTTTTTATGGTTTATTTTCATTGATTTCTTGTCACATTACACACCTATATCAGTCTTTCCACTTTCCATATATCATTGACTGATACAGTGACACCTAGGTGCTTTACAATTTCAGTTTTAATGTGACATTTGCATATTTTGAATACTGCTGTATCATAAGTACTTATTATAGCAGGCATTTCCTAGCTGCTTATCTCGCACTGTAACTTTATTGGATCATCTTGTTTATGTTTCAAGTAAACTAGTTTCTAACTTTCATATATTAGGTCGGGAAGAAATTAGTGTCATATTTTAAAACACTTTTATTAACCACCACCCAAAAAACGTACATCACGTATAATAGTTAAACGAACCATCTAAATGTCACGTTAGTGTAGCCCATATAATGTGTAAAGTTTAGTATACTCTAATTCCATATAAGGATGGCACACAACAGGATACACAATCGGCATGTAATTCTATTTGAATACAAGCAGGGAAACAAAGCCCTTCATCAGAAACACCCTTCACTCGTCAATCGAAAAGGTGTTCTTCTCCAAGACAATGCACGTTTGACACAACACAAGATTATGGAGTTGGGTTGGGAAGTTTTCCACCATCCACCATATTCTCCAGATATGGCACCATCGGATTAGCATCTTAATGGGAAAACATATGCAAATGTGAAAGGTGTTAAAGAGGACATCGACATGTTTTTTGCTTCATAGCCAAGTGATTTCTTTAATCAGGATGTTAACAACCTGATTGTAAGGTGGAAAAGTATCATTGATCAGAATGGAGACTTTTTCATTTACTAAAAGTTGTTTGGGTTTTTCATAAAAAAAATCCACATTAATTTCTGTATATGTTAAATTCAGATGCTGTTGAGCTGAGAAGTGTGTTCTTACTTACACCTTCTTCAAGTGTTTGTGAATGTTCCCATTAAAGATGTATCTTATGCTTAATTTCTTTTTAATTGCATATTCTTCATAGAACTAGCTTTATAGTCAGTTAATTAAACCTTGGATTTTTGTTATGATACCCTACCTCAACTTGTGCTGCCCTCTATTTGTGCAATTTTTGCTTGCCACTAGCCTTGATGCTCCCAACTACCCTCACATAGTTATACATGGTATAGCTGTGCTGTAGCATGCAACAAACCTCCACCAATAGGACTGCAACATACCCTCCTAGCACAGCTGACTCCCTCTATACTGTTAAGCACTATCAACGCTTCTCAATTTTTCATTTGTGTGTAAAGAGGTGTATTTTATTTTGCTTGTGAACTTTTTAGATTAAAGCTTTTTTCATTGAAATTATCTACAAAGACATTGTTTCACAAAAGTCACTAACTTCCACTTTGTGTTATGTGAAACAACACTACTTTGTTCACTTTAGCCTAACAACTACATTGGTGTTGGGTTTGTCTTTTGGGAGAGGTGACAATTTTTGTGTGGCAGAAGATGAAGTCTTTCATGTGACCTGAACCTTCTTTAGTTCCTGACATACCTCTGCCTATGTTTCTTGTTTGTGACAGAAGGGATTTTGCCAGTTTTTTTACCACCTACTTTTGCCTCATATTATACCCATATTGTCTTTTTCCAAAACATACACATCTCCACTGACACTAATAGCTATTTCATGATCTTCATTTTTTTCCATCTAACGTTGTGTTTGCTTGCTCCTGTCTTTATATACCACACTCGACTGTCCTCGGCAATATCTAATTTGCAAAACTTTAAGCTGGCCCTCACATGCCTTCTATGCAGGTACTGTATATAAGCCTTGTATACAGACAATAAAATCACTTTTCCTTGACAAAGCACGAGCATTCAGACTCGTGTCTAGTGATTTACATTTTTGTAGTTTTTGCTTTCTAATAATCAGGAATTCTTTGTTTTGTTATCCAGAGATATATTTCATTGAATTTGTTTTTTCCTACAAATATATTACAAAAAAAATGGATATGAATTCTCGTGTAATGGTTTCAAGGAATGAAGCTGTTGATTCGGGAAGAGATGGAGTCCTTCATGTGGTCTGGTGGTATCTCTCTGGGAGTTGCTGATTTGAATTTTCATTCTGAAATGGGATATTTTGGAGAGAATTTAGATTCCCTGTTTCCTGCTCCTTCTTTCACTGGAGCTTTCTCTCCTGAGGACTCATGTGATCAGCCACCTTCTGCCTAATAGGGTTGTTTTACATGCTTTATCACGTTATTCTTTCAAACCCATGGCCTCCTGTTCATTATATCACTTTTCCCTCACAGTTTATTTTTGATTGCTGTTAGCTTCCGAACGCCGCCGTCCTGATTTATTTGCCATTTATGTTCAGCAGACTATCATTCTACCTATGTTTTGCTCTATCCCAACTGATCATTATTCCAAAAACTCTCACTGCCAGAGATGGAAACAAATCTTTTTCTCCTATTCATTTACCTGGAATTTCTGATCTCTACTGTAGATCAGACCTGGATCGTTTGTCATGTCCCATCAGGGTGCTCAGATGTTATGTGGTTCGTATGGAACCATTTCTCTAGGAACAGACTTTTTATTCATTGGGATCCTGCAGTGTCCAGGGATTTATCACCTGTTACTTGGTTTCGGTTGGTTTCAGATGGTTTCGGAAGGTGATCCATGTTGCGTAATCGGGCTTATCTGTTAACGATCGCAATATGCTCCACATCACCTCTCACCAGATTCGACACCATTACTCTTGCACTGACTTTTCACTTCTGTCATCCATTAGATGTGGGCATGTGGACTACACCCACTTACTTTCGTTGCACATTTTCTTCATCTTCTGCCCATCTCTTTTTTTTTTCCAAATATCGACTTCCTGTCACCATACTACATGCCCCTTAATGACTCTGAATGGGTAAGTTTTTTTTTATATGTCTTACCTTTACAGTGGCCTATTTCTACATCTCTGGATCCTGTACTGTGACGAGTGGTGCCTGTCCAGTTATACTTAACTCTAAGTTTGCCCCATACTGCTGTATGGGTCTAGAACTCTCACTGAAGAGATAAGGGTGTTTGACAGTTCTGCTAGAGGCTGCTTCACAGTATCTTGCTTCATAAATAAAGCTCACGCCAGACTGTACCAACTCATGGACTATCATGAGTCAAGATTGCTTATCATCTCTCCGGTCCTAGTTGAATAAACTGAGACCAGCCTGTCTTTCAAAATAGGGTTTTTGTGGTCACCTATTGCACTGTCTTACAGTGTTGCATTCCTCCAAACTCTCCACCATGTTGTTCCCTCCCTCTTCCAATAGAGTATGATAATCCTTGCGACTTACCAGTTCCAAGCCAGTGGGGTTATGGACTTTGGCCTCCTGAGTGTAACCAATTGCACTCAGTTGAGAGTAGGGTCTGGTGTAGATGGTGAGTACTCTCCTTCTACTATAGACCAGAAGACAAATATCCTATGCAGCCTGGTTTTGGTTTGTACAGATCCACCACATCCCCCATCTTACCGTTGCCTGGATGTAGGTTCAAGGGTGGTCTGGTGTTGGATTGGCATAGGACCAGTCAATATAAGTCCTCACACATGTGGTTGGTAGAGACCTTCCTCCTACCAAGGAAGTGATGAAAATTTCTTGATGGCACTTAGGTTTGGAATCATGACCCACCACGTTTGTATTGTCCCTTCCTACCATAACCTGGATGTTGGGTTCCCATGTGGCCTGATGCTGGTTATTTACTGAGTCTGCACAAATGTGCCCTGGCTAGGTTGTCAGAATGGAAGTTGTTTTAACTTCTGCTTCCTGGACAGTGGGAATCCACCTCCTACCATTGACCAGAAGACAAGTACCAGATGGTTTTGGACTAGAATTTATCCACCAAATATGGTCTGACATGCCCTAGTCATTCTACACCATCTGACATGTCCAATTACAAATTGGATGTGCATCTTTTTCATCCGATTTAGTGACACATATCTTTACAAGAGGCGAAGAGTATACCTGGTACAGATGGGGTGCTGTCTCCCACGAGTGTGACCCCATATGTTAGGGTATCATACTTCATGGTTTCTCTTTGGGTGCTTTTCGAAGAATGCTCATCTGGGTAACTTTTGCACCAGTCCATCTACCATTTCAATTATGGATTCTAGCTATTTATGATCAGAGGTATAGTATCATATCTGAAATTAACATTTTCTTACACTGAAAATGTATTTCTGATAAATACCTGTCTCTTCTCAAACTTCTCACCCATCCTCCCCACTTCTGGTGCATCCAAATCTCGAAGTGATGATAGTGCTTAACAGCGTGGAGGGAGTCAGCTGTGCTAGGAGGGTATGTTGCAGTCTTATTGGTGGAGGTTTGTTGCATGCTACAGCACAGCTATACCATGTATAACTATGTAAGAGTAGATGGGAGAGTCAAAGCTAGTGTCGAGCAAAAATTGCACATAAAGAGGGCAGCATAAGTCAAGAAAATATATTATGTGAACAGAGGTAAGTATCTATCGGAAATACATTTTCAGTGATGAAAATGTCACTGTTTATTTATAAGCTCATTAAAAAGTAAATTCTTAGTTTAGCATTTGGAGGTTTGGTACTTATATTTTAGATTGATGGTCAGTCAGTCATTTAAGTTCTTTGGAGCAGTGTTTTTATACTTTATTTAACTACTAATCATCTTATAACAGAATGAAGAACCATAAGACCACTAGATTGTGAATGCTCCGGTGTACACTTATATTCAGTATGGTTAAAATCTTTTTAACCTTCTTTACATTGTTGTTATTCAACAGTACATTTTATTATTACTGTATAATGTATTTTTTAGATTTAAATTCTGTGACGATAGACTAGAAAGAAGTGGTCTTACCTATTCATCAGACCCCATTGTTGCTTGTCAAGGTTTTCAATATCAGCTGGTCCTTAGAAAGTGGATAGAAATAGATCCAAGCATGGAGTTCCGATGTTTTGTAAAAAATGATAAACTTATTGGTAAGTAGCATCTCAACATGAGTCAATCAAGTAACCATCTGTATACGGGTTTTGCCAATTTTATTGACCTTGTAACAACTCATAACAGGAAACTATATGGATATTATAATTCTGAATGTACTAAGTGTATCTTCATCAAATTGGGCAAGATTTTAGTAAACATTAGAAGTATATTGTACACTAAAAGGTTTTTGAATAAATTTTTTAGTAAAGTTTTATTGGTGAATTTAAAAAGCCTTTACTGAGGCAGTCCAATTGAAAGGAATATTTATATTAAGAATAGAAATACTTATTTTCATCTTATGGCTTTCATATTTCATTTTGATAACCTGTAGAACATCGTAAGTGAATGAGAAAAGTTGTTATTGTAGAGAACTTTATATTTTGTTTGTTATTTGTTTACTCTAATACAAATTGTAGCAAACTCATCAGTATATATATGAAATTAACCCTTTTGCGGCAAGCTTGTGCAATTTGTGGAAATCAAGTCCCGAATTTTACTTGTACAACAGTACATATGGTAACTCTGAGATTTCTTAATGTAGCAAACTAATCAGTATATATATATGAAATTAACCCTTTTGTGGCAAGCTTGTGCAATTTGTGAAAATCAAGTCCCAAATTTTACTTGTACAACAGTACATATGGTAACTCTGAGATTTCTTAATGTATCCTCTCAAAAACTGGTAATATTTTGTAAAAGATCATAAGTATCTTGTAATAATTGTTTTTACTAAAAATATTATTTTTCTATTGTAGTTACTTGCATTAAAACTATAACAAATCAAGTGCAAGGTGACTTTCATTTTAAGTATAAAAATACTTTTCTTCGTCTTATAGTTTTCATATTTCATTTGCATAACCTCTAAACCTCCTAATAGGATATCAAAAGTTTTTAAAGGTAAATATTTATATTTTACTTTTGTGTTCTTTACCATATCACTAACTCTAGCAATTATCAACAACATACAATGCAACAAAATAATTAAAATTAGGAAATAGACAAAAAAATACATATCTTTTAATTTTTTATAGAATATCTTTAAACATGTTTCTTTTGTTAGATTCATAATTTCAGGTCTTTTCCTTTTCACATATAGTTAATTTTTAATGTTTTCTTTTCTTGTCCTTTACCACTTATTAATTATTTTGACACAAGTTAGTTGTGCCCTCGAGGTTATTATGGTTTCTTTTGGAGACATGTGCAACTATAACATACTTAGGTAAGAAACAACCGTAAGTGCAATAGTCGATCAAACAGCCAACCATACAATAGTCAATTTCATGTACTCCATGATGACAACTTGGCTCCAATTTCAAAATAACCATTGGTAGATTATACTGTAAAATGAACTCTTTCTAATGATTATACACATGTGTATGTAGCATCTACATGTAGGTTATAAAGCTCACACAAATCTGTTGAAGGTGGATGTGGCACCTGTCAGGGGTTGAAAAATTTATTATTTGTTTCAACTATATTCATTCAGAGAACTTTGAAATGAACGAGTCAAAAGGTTATGTAAGCAACTTATCACCTAGACATAACTCTACTCAACTACCATTGTATTGTTGAAGATACAGAGAGCCAAAATAGAGAATTTTTATAGTTCATTGATCATGTGACAATATGTCTGAAGTTTAGTTTGAAATAAAGGACTTAAAACTTAGATGAAATGAAACTTTGAATCCTAACATACATTATTAATTTCATTCACATACATTGATAGTAAAGGTGTTTAATTAAGTTTTGAATGTAACACAGTGATCTGTGCAGAAAAGCATTTACAGGAGTTTCTGTTGCGAAATGGTTAAAAGTTGAAATATATGAAATAAAATGAATAATGTTGTTTTTTATTCCTAGAATGGCTGTAGTTTGTAACAGACAATTATAATTATTTATCCTAGCTTCTAACATTTTCACATAAGCTTTCTTTTAATTCTAAGTTTTTTCTTATACATTTGGACCCTACTGCATTTAAAAAGCAATAAATCACAGTGGTAGCTCATTTAGGGTAAGCAAACAAATAGACTACAGTCGCATGCATACCATGAACCCACCTTACTCATCAACTGAGCTTGTGAAATTTTCAAATTTTATTTAAGTTTTGCTACCTAGCCTAAGAAGTTTTTAATTTTAGTTTAGTTTTAACAAATAATGTATAACAAATATAAAAAATATACATTAAAAATTACATTTAATATTTGCACAAAAATGAAGTAATTTTTGCATATGAGTAGAACTTCTTGGTAAGTCTTGTTGAGTAGTAAATTTAGGTGTCCAAAAAAAGAATTAATTTTGCTTTCATCTATGCATGTTAGAGAGCAAAAAATATATCAGTCACTGGAATAGAATGTTCAAATACTATAATTAATCTATCTATTAAAGTAAGCCATTAAATAGCTCAGAAAAAATCCCTTTAACTGCTTGGAGTTGAACAACAAAAATATCAGATAAAGAATTTAATGCCAACTGTGTATGCATTATCACCAAAAAGAAACAATTGCAATAAGCTTTATATAAAGGAGAATCTGCTCTTTCTATTGGTTATAAACATGTCCATCAGCCATGCAGATGTGTGTGTATGTATATATATATATAACTGTTTTGAAAGGCAGGACAGATGAAAGATGCTTCTTTGGTGGGCTTGACATATTTATTGATATCTCAGCAAATAGGGGAGGTATGAAGTTCAACTTTTATATTCTTGCTTATAATTATATATAGTTTGTATTTCTAATTTGTTGGAAATTCTTAAAAGCCATATTATCAAAGATTTGTAATGGTGACAGAGAAGTGAAGATTGATAATTTTTAAGCATTTCCTTTTGAAATTAATAAATTAATACTTAGATAATACAAATAACTGAATCATAAACTATGTTTTAATACCAGGGCTACTGACATACATTGATAATAAAGTTTAAATTTTAAATCTAACTCCGTAAAAGGTCATGACATCACTCTTTGACCCAGCCATATGCAGTGATTAATAGATAATTTGGTCAACAGAAATCACCATTCAAAATCATTAAGCGTTCTTTGTAACAATGTAACAAAACATTGTAATAGATGTTCTCCATTATTAAAAAACTGCTTCTGATAAATGATAAAATTAAAAATACACTTCTAATCCATTGAGTCCTCATCAATCAATTTTTGTCACAAAAATTTGCCACTAACTCACTTTTAAGCTATGTAGAATTTCCAGTCTCATTTTTGCTGATCCTCCCTCTCCCCTCCAGTGGGTCAGCAGTAATTCTGGAGGCTTATAATGCTAAAAACTGAGTTTCAACTCCTGTGGTGGACACCGCACAGATAGTCCATTGTTTAGCTTTGTGCTTAAAAACAAGCAGTGTTGCTGATATCAAATTTTATTTATCATGGTCTCTAGACAATTAGGTAAGGTCATAGAAGCTGTGTCAGAGATAGAAATGTGTGAAACTTGGTGTTTATACAAACTAGGGAAAGTTACAGAAGCTGTTGTCTCAATACTGTCAGATACAGAATTTTCTGGAACATAGTGTTCAGACAACTGGGGAAAGTCATGCAAGCTATGGTATCAGTGTTGTCAGATATACAATTTTATGAAACACGGTGTTTAGACAACTAAGGTAACTTATTCAATTTTTTGTTCCAATGTGTGAGATATAAAATTGTATGAAACATGGTTTTTAGAAAAATCATGAAAGCTGTTCTCTCAGTGTTGTCAGATATATAATTTTATGAAACACAGTGTTTAGATAACTAGGAAAAGTCAGAAGTTCTGGTCTCCATTTTGTCAGGTATAAAATTTCAGACAACTAGAAATAGTCATCAAGGCTCTTGTCTCAGTGTTATCAGATATAAAATATTATGAAACATGGTGTTTAGACAACTGGGAAAAGTCATGAAAGTTCTGGTATCAATGTTTTTGGAATTTTATGAAACTTAGGAAAGCCAGTAAAGTTTTGTTGTCATCATTTCATGGAGCATGGTGTTTAAATAATTAGGAAAAGTTTTTCTTATAACTTATGATGGCTTTTTTAACCTGTCATTACCTTGAAAGTACGTGGTACCTGTTACATTTAAGTAATTTTACATTATACAGAATGATGGTTCCTCAGAACCAACTATGAAGGACAGAGATTCTATGACACCAACAATGAACCTGACTTTTTATTGAAATGTCTAATGGCTGATATTTAAGAAAACAAACGTTTTTTAAACTTTTTGTGTTTGTGTGAATATTCAGAGAAGTGGGTTTGTGGGAAAATTGCATCCAAAACACATCATGCAGTGCTTAATACACATCATGCAGTGCTTAATACACATCATGCAGTGCTTAATACATGTCATGCAGAGCTTAATACACGTCATGCAGTGCTTAATACACGTCATGCAGTGCTTAATACACATCATGCAGAGCTTAATACACATCATGAGGTGCTTAATACACGTCATGCAGAGCTTAATACACGTCATGCAGAGCTTAATACACATCATGCAGTGCTTAATACACATCATGCAGTGCTTAATACTTGGGCTTTACTCAGAATGCACATAACTGTGCTAACATAATAAATGCATAAGAAAATGTAACAAAGGTTCTTAAAAAGTAGTTTGTATCAGTAGTTTTAAAAAAATTTCTCACCAGAACCTAGCACTTCATTACATCAAGCCTGCTGGTTTTTTTTATATGAATTTATAAATAAATTCAAGTGTTTTGATATGTTGTTTTAATAAGTAGATGAGATATGATTTGAAAAACATACAAATTACTAGTGTTGATTATCATACATTCACTTGATGGTAATCTTAGAAAAAATGTACTGTTGAGAAGTGTAGAATTTTTTTCCTCAAAAACAGTTGCTGCCAGTTTTACCTTTTATTATTATTATTTTCTTTTGTTTTAATAGGTATATCTCAGAGAGACTACACCAATTACTATAGCTACATTGGCTATCAGAGAAATGATATTGTTCAAGATATACAGTCCTTCTTTAAAGAACATATGCAAGGGAAATTTGTTGATAAAAACTGTGAGTATAATATTTTGTAACTGAGTGTATACTGTTTTTTTTTATCACTAAACGGCCTGGCATAGCCTCATGGTTAAGGCATTCAACTCACAATCTACAGTCTTGGGATCAAATGCTGTCATCAAACATGCTTGCCCTTTCATTTGTGGGTGTATTTTAATGTGATGGTCAATCCAACTATTAAAGAGTAGCCCAACAATTGGTGGTGGGTGCTGTTGAGTTACTGCCTTCAATTTTGTCTATCACTTCAAAACTAGAGACAGAGAGTGCAGATAGCCTTCAAGTAGTTTTGTAAAAACTTCAAACAAATATGTCACTAATCATGTGAAACAGTGTATAAGTTGTTAGTTGAGTCACACAACTTACATTGTCATACAGTACCATCAAGTACACATTAGAATATTTTAACTTGATACATGGATTCCAAGTGCTTAATCACTCTAATAATTTTTGTATAACACTAAATTATTTTTGACACTGTAACTGTTATTATCACAAGTGCAGACACAGAATTTTCGAAAGGGTGGGGTTCAGCCTGTAAAAGGGCACACATATAATATATTTGTGATTTTAAAATGTATATAGATGTTGCATATTGAGGGCACTTCACGTCGAAAAGGGTGGGGTTCGAACTCCTGGAACTCCATCCCTGTACCTGCTATTGTATCGCAACTTGTATTTTAAATATGAAATATATCATATCTAAGTAATAGAACTATAAAAATAAGTAGTAACGCTGTATTTTGGAATTAATTACATTGTTAAGAAAGAAACGTAGTAGTTGAAAAATGTTAATCATAGTTGGTCTAAATTATTGTTTTTTTATTGATGTAGAAGAAAATGTTTTGATAATTGTACTTTATAAGGAAGGGGAGAAGTACAAGTCCAATGTTCTTTAAAACTTGTGAGTATATAAATATGTGCAAGTTTTTAGGTTGCTATTTGATAGAACTCTTGTGGGCAGCTAAAGTTTGATTTGTACGTTATTCTGATTCCTTTCTTTTGCATACAAAGAAGCATCTGGCTTGACAGATGATAATATCACATTAAAAGACATTTGTGATCCTCTGTTGGTTTCTAGTAGTCAGAGAGAGAGCTTCTGTCAGGTTAGAGAAATCTACCAGGAAATTGTACCTGTTTTTATGGATAATACTGGATATACTTCAAATATGGTGCAACATACTTTAGTGTTCTTGGATTTATTTTATTGATGTTTACTTGAGCTGGCAATGTTTTGGTTTTAATTTATTGATGTTTACTTGAGCTGGCAATAAAATAAAACCAAAACATTGCCAGCTCAGTTAAACATCAATAAGATAAAACCAAAACATTGCCAGCTCAAGTAAACATCAATAAATCAAAACCAAAACATTGAAGTTTACTTGAGCTGGCAATGTTTTGGTTTTATTTTATTGATGTTTAACTGAGATTGTAATGTTTTGGTTTAATTTTATTGATGTTTACTTGAGCTTATAATGTTTCGGTTTTATTTTATTGATGTTTACTTGAGCTGGCAATGTTTTGGTTTTATTTTATTGATGTTTAACTGAGATTGTAATGTTTTGGTTTAATTTTATTGATGTATACTTGAGCTTGTAATGTTTTGGTTTTATTTTATTGATGTTTACTTGAGCTGGCAATGTTTTGGTTTTATTTTATTGAAGTTTACTTGAGCTGGCAATGTTTTGGTTTTATTTTATAGATAAAAGTAAGTATTTAGATAGCATTATGAGCTTTCAAGTTAATAAGTATTTGTATGTTATTTTGCAAGTTAATAAAGTCAGTTTGGTTTTAAATATTATTTAATAGTTTGGTTTCAGGTTACTCTTTAGTAAGCTTGTTTTGATGTATTATTTGACTTAATTTATAACAAATAATCAAACTTACACGTTAGGATGAAGAGATTCTGTGAGAAATCTCTGTGGTAGGTGAATTTACTTAGTAAACTAAAAATGTAAGATTTTTATTGTTTTTAAATTCAGCAAATCTAATAAAACAAAAATGAGAAGTGTTATATTTAAATTGTAGTTTGTTAATTAGATCACATACTGCTGTTTCTAAAGTATTCCATAGAAACTAAACTTTTATTTTGTTTTTCAGATGTGTTTGATGTTTACAGAAGAAGAAAGGTAATTTAAACTTTATGTGTTTCAAAGTTTAATAATTATTACAGTTATTAATAAGAACTTCTAAGTGAAAGTGAAGAACAATGTATAATAATATGTCAACCACACCGTATCTGCTACAACCAGTGCCGATGAATCTCTTCCAGTACAAGGACTCTTCAGGCCAGCTGAGATATGATATTTGTGTACATAAATATAGAGTAGTGATTAAGACGCTGTTTTAATTAGTAAATTTCTTTACAACAACTGTTATATTATAAATTGGATTAAGTCTGTTAAATTATGTCTGTTTGTTCAACATGTGTAAATTTGTTTATATTTTATGAATGAAGGCAAACAATCTATTTCAATTCAAAATTAGAAATAACGAGTCCAGAGTAACACAGTTTACGAAGAAGAAGAAATACTTACTTGATCAACAACGTTATGATGACTTACTGTTTTTTATTCAGATATATAAATATTGATCTGAAATTGCCACAGAAACCAGCCTCGTTCAATTGACTAGCTAAGTCTTTTTTTTATCAACTCATCTAACTTGTCTGTGGTTTTTTTCAGCCTGTGAAGTAGTAATCAAGGTGCTTAACTAAAGGTACTTTCTCATGAGATATTTATGAAATGCTTCAGTTTCCTGTCCATTCATTCATATGCTCTTTACAGATAATGTAATTTCCCTGTATTAAGTTAATATGAAGAATTTTGTGGTATTTCTACAGGATCGAGTCAGGTTAATGGATTTCAATCCATTTGGTCCAATCACAGATCCACTTTTGTTTCGATGGGAGGACCTGGCTCAGAGAGTCACTTCTACTGCTGAAGAAGTAGGTTTTACTCTAATAATACTTCTTTGTCTTGTATAAAAAATTTATTATGCTTATTGTGTTCTTTAGGTTAAGTTTACATCCTCTGATCTGTAGTTGTACAGTCATTATGTATTACAAACGTCATGATTTTCTTCTTATAATTTAACATTTTTGATTATATATATATATATATATATATATATTATAAT